ATGTTAATATGAGGATGTCCTGTTAAAATCGAGATTACTTTGTAATCTATTATTAAAAGGAAAAAAACAACTGAGCTGGGCAAGGTGACTCATGCCTGTAATCCCAGCACTTTGGGAGGCTAAGGGAGGAGGAAGGCTTGAGGCCAGGAATTTGACAGCAGCCTGGACAACAGAGCAAGACCATCTCTACAAAAACAATTTTTTTAATTAGCTCAGTGTGCTCCTGTGGTTTACCTGCTCTGGAGAATGAGGCAGGAGGAATGCCTGTCAAAAGGAAAAAAAAAAAGTGTCATCTTTGAACAATGCTTTTCTTCCATTACTCAACCACTGTACTGAAGAAGCAATGGAAAGTATTCACTATGGATAAGGCCACCAATCTGCTTTTCTACTGACCACAGGTTTCTTACTGGTTTCCTAGTGCCAACTAAGAATAACTCTGCTTTTGTACAGTAAGAATTCACACATTAAGTCCATATATTTGGCAGCAAATGGATCACTGCACAACACTTTCATGGTATTTGGTCAGTTCAACATTTGAGAAAGGATAATCCCCGGAATCTTTCCAATAAAACAAGATCTATCAGCCTTTATCATTTATTTCACAAATTAACCTATAGCAAAAACTTTGAGATGGTCTTATAGACTACATAAAAATATGAGATGCTGGCCAGGCACGGTAGCTCATGCCTGTAATCCCAGCATTTGGGAGGCTAAGGCAGGAAGATCACTTGAGGCCAAGAGTTTGAAACCAGCCTGTACAATATAGTGAGACCCTGCCCCTATCAAACACAAAAACCAACAACAACAAAAAACAGACATGGTGGCCCGCACCTGTAGTCCCAGCTACGCAGGAAGCTGAGGCAGGAGGATCGCTGGAGTAAATCATCATCACACCAGTGCACTCCAGCTGCATGACAGAGCAAGACCCTGTCTCTTTAAAAAAAACTTTTTATAAACATGAGATGGAGCAGACTCTCAGGAATTTTCTAGACGAAAATATCCTACTAATGATATAAACACCATAGCAACACCTCTTCGTGTCCAATGATTTTTTTTTCAATCATGTAACTCACTCCTTGAGTTTGCAAAACTCCTTTATTTCAACAAAATGACTTTTGCTTGTCACTTATTTCCTATATCATTAAATACCTTAATTTTCCCTTCAGAAAATACTTATAGTGTACCTTTATTTTCAACACTCCACAATACTTTTAAATAGACATTTTCAGTATGAATTATGGTTAAGATTTCATCCATTCTATAAGGCATATTTTAGTGGAAGAGGCATTCCTTCCTCCTATGCATTTCCTACTTTATAGTAAATTCAGTATCGGGTAAAAACTGCAAATGTTCCTATCAATCCTATAACACAATTCATTCATTACTTTTTATGACGCTTTTATTTTTACATACAAAAAAAAAATACACACTTTTCCCAAACCTTGAGGAGTTGAATTTCGTGTTTATGTGTGTGACAATAATTAAAAGCCAGGCAAGCTGGTATGGAAAATGATTTTGATAGTTATCAGAAAAGCAAAACCAGTGCCTTTCGATCCACCCCAGCAATAAATGATACCATGACATTACATATCCCAGCAATAAATGATACCATGACATTACAGATACCTAAAAAGCATTCTTATAAAATTCCTGAAATACCTCCAAAATCCTGTTATGCATGATACTAGACTTTATCATCAGTACTTATACTCTTCAGAATACGGTCACATGCTCATTAAAGAGCGGACAGTTTTGACGGCAGGCTACAGTTAGTTCACTGCTGTCTTTCCATGATGCACCAGCAGAACCATCCAAAGCCAAACACACCAAACCTATTAAGAAAAAAGCATTCACAATTCCCACCTGTGTCCTCTACATTTTCTAAACAGTATTAATTTCATATGTATTTGTCAATATTACATATTTAGTGGGAATTGACATTAAAATCAACATATTGTTAAGTAATCTTGACTAGTAAACCATGCGTCAAACAAATCCTGTCTGCAAAAACCTTAATTCTAAGTGTGATAAATTATTTTTAATAACATAAAACTATAAATTTTCTATTTTTACATTCAAGACTAAATACCATTGACTATCCTTCAAAATGTTTATGTTCCAAATTGCTGTAGTTCCAAAACCCATAAACCTACAACAAATGACTTTAGAATGCTAGAAAACTTTTTTTTAATTATCAATTCTGAAAATTAAGTAATTTAAATCATTAAATCATAACATTGACCTAATAGGACAAGAAGTTTCTTTGGGTAATCTTTATTAATATATGACCATCCTCAAGGGTCTCACTTGCTAGCCTTTTAAACAAATTTCTAAGGCAATTTTACAGTTCATTTAAAAGGTAATACCACACACTCCTACAACCTTAGCCACTTTACAAAACAAAGGCAAAATTTCTTCCAAATGTTACTACTATAGTGTTTCTGTCTTAATTCCTCTTACAGTCTCCCAGTGTGTCTCAGATTGCCATGTACATCTAGATTGTGACATGCAAAATGGATTCTGCTTTAGAAATGGATTAATTGGCATGCAGATTTCTGCAGAGATCCATAATCCCACAAACAAGAGGGGAAATGAACATTATAGGGCTGACTCTGACATGTAAGGGGAAGCGGGGTTGGCAACTTCACAATGGTGGTTATGGGGAAAAGAAAGACAAGAGACTGAGGTACCCAGATCATCATCCTGCCAACAGCATTCAAGTAGTTACTAGCTTCCATGTACAAGACACATTTTCAAAGTGGAAAGACAGTTCTCAGAGAGTTGGATTCAGACCATCAGTTACCATTAGACTACAGTGTCAGTGTAATTCAATTTAATCTTCAACCATTAAAAAAATTTTAAGACTGTATTTCAAGGTAATAATTCAAATTTAACAAATTACATACACACTAACTCGTACGTGTATGTTCTCTATGTGTCATCTTAAAGCATTTTAAGCATTTTTGATAACTAAAATAGAGCAGCCATGTTGAAATTAATGTTTACATAAAATGTCAGTGACTTTAATGTACTACTGGCCAAGAAAAGGTAGCTCAAAGCTTTAACTTTCAATGAGCTGGATAAAAGACTTTCAGGGCATGTTTGAGAAACATGTTCTACTAAAAACGTAATTATTATTTTTTTTCCTTTTTCTTTTTGAGACGGAGTCTCGCTCTGTCGCTAGGCTGGAGTGCAGTGGCATGATTTTGGCTCACCGCAACCTCCGATTCTGAGGTTCAAGCAATTCTCCTGCCTCAGCCTCCTGGGTAGCTGGAACTACAGCCGCCCACCGTCACTGTCACCATGTTGGCGAGGCTCAAGCTCCTGACCTCAAGTGATCTGCCCGCCTCAGCCTCCCAAAGTGCTGGGATTACAGGTGTGAGCCATCGTGTGGCCAATACTTTACTTTATAAGCAAAATTTGAAGATCTAATTTAATATTTGATAATCAAGGTTTTGGTTGGCCTATATATAGCAGGGTAAAGTATGAGACAAATTATTAAGCTTGACAAAATAAAAGGAGACTTTACCTGACCACCTTTCTATATTCTTCAGTGAATTAATCAAACAGTATTTTCAACAAAGCTTTGTATCCAGTACTTTGAAGTAAAAGTTACCTAAAAGCCTCACGTCACTTTGGTAAAAGCAGAACATATATGAGTTTTCAACTTCAGTTACATATTTATTAGAGTGGAGAGTACATGGAATGAATGAAGTTATCCTTATTAGTGTTAAAAGCACTAATTGGAAGAGAAAATGTCTCCAATTAGTTCACCCTATTTAATAGCCAAAAGTTTCACAGAGAAATAACAAAAAAGGTGTTATGATTTAAAAAAAATGAGGTGTATATTTAGATAATTTGCAACCTATAATTCTAAAAGAATTGCCAGAATGCAAAGATCTTTTGAATAATATTAATTCTGGTGAAATCAAGTTCAAAATATAATACCCAGGATTCCTCTTTATCCAAAGAAGAAATCAAACTAGGTAATTTCTTTTCTGAAATAGTCTGCAAATTCTAATTCAAAAGAAGTACACAAAATAGGATAAATAATAAAGGGTATGTATAAAAGAAAAGCTACAATAATTCCAATTTTTGCTTCCTTAGTACTGTACATATACTACATCGACATAATAGAAATGGCACAGTCTCTGAGGACACGTTCCACAATTTATTTACATTTTAAGACTAACTTTAATCTCAAAATCACATATCCATATACCTATTTCCTTTTTGTTGAATTCACTTAAAACTTAAATGCATGGTTAAACAAAGACTGTAAACAAATATTTACCATGTCTGTTACATGTAACACACAAGAACAGCTTTTAACAGAAGTTCATCAACTCCCCCCAACATTTTTTATTATAAATACAGGTATCAAAACAATCCTGAACATATTTTTGATACAACTAGTAGTCAG